AGAAACTACAATTTCGAATTGCCATTCGGTGAAACCACTTGCTTGTGTCTTGTGAACGTGGAGGGCGTTGTATTTGCATGTATTACACATAGTTGAACTCTGGTGACCTTGCCCTTTGTTATATAATATTATTTCCTTTATCATAGTTTGTTTCAATATGAATATGCATTCATGATTGTCATAATTAATTTTGAATCAAAACAAGTTTTAGGATTGAAACAGCATATAGGGAAAGCAGTCTACTTAATGTCATTGATTGATGTAAATATCTTACAAAAACATTGGTGCCTAATTTGTTTAATTATTTTAAGGGACATAAATTCCAGGTTTATTCAAAGTAATTCAGATATTTTAGTATAAAAACAAATGCCTCATCTCAAAAAAAGTGCTGCACATGAATAGATTCATAAAACATGCAAAATAACAGAAAATATTAGCTGGCTTTTGCCCAAGTATTTTGTACAGGTGACTGTCAAAAATTAATGATTTATTATATTCATTGTATGACTACTGTATTATTTGAAAAGTCAAAAAACGCCCTCTAAGAATAACTATCTGCTTTGTATACAAATCAACTTAAATAGCTAGTTGGTGTACAGTGGAGAGAGAATTCAACAGTACTGTTGCCTCCTAAAAATCTACATCTTCAAACACTGCAATCTTTGTTTCTAAAGTGTGTTTTTTAATTTTATTATAAAAGCATTATTCTAATTTCTGTGAATTTTCATTTGTCAAATGAACTGTTTTTCAAATACAGAATACCTATTTTTGAGCACAATTTTCTTTTCAAAATGTGGATGCAACGTTTTGCAACGACAATGAAGGACAGACTTTTTTCCCTTAATATACCTTTCCCTTTCATCATTGATGTTACAGGCAAGATAAAAATAACGTACACCAGTAACCCACCATGACTGATGTCAATGCCAAGTTTGAATGAAATGGTCAAGGCATGTTCGAGAAACGATTGATGACATGTCCAAATGGCGGCCAGTTGGCCAAAGGTTAACCAAATCAAAAACAATTGATGTGCACATGTCTCCCATTATGACTTGTCTTTGTACCAGCTTTGAAGATAAGACGGAACCTAAAACATAAGTCCCTGTTTCGGACTACAGGCAACAGGAATTAATCAAAGAAAGCTTAGAAAGAACTCCTGTGTGCTGATAGTATTAGAGACACAGTAAATATTAATTCAAAATTGATGGAAAAGCTGAGAACTAATTATGCAAATCAGAAAATTAAAATGAACAGAGTGTAAAACTAATAAGGTCTGTGCAATGTAGCAGACCATCTACATGTATGTACCAAGTTTCATTGAAATGTGATCAGAACCAAATAATTATGAGTTATTATGCTAATTAGGAAATTTATATGAACAGATTTTAACCCAAAACTGATCATATTTGTACATTGTCCTAGAGCATTTATGTACAAAGTTTCATTTAAAGGTGATGATTAGTACTCATGATATCAGTGAAAAAGCTGAAAATTAAATAATTATGCAAATTAGGTGATTAATATGCACAAATATTTATCCTAAAACAATCAATCTTTGCATAGTCCTTGAGTATCTATGTACCATGTTTCATTGAAATGTAATGCTTACGACTTGAAATATCAAAAGCTGAAAATTAATTTATTATGCAAATTAGGTAATTAACATGTACTGATATTACTCTAAAAACTACTAGGCCTGTGCAGTGTCCTATGACATCTAGGTACCAAGTTTCATTGAAATGTGATGATTAGTAGTTGGGATATCAGTGGAAAAGCCAAAAATTTACTAAGCATTAGGCAAATTAGGTAATTAATATGCACAGATTTTCACCCAAAACTAATCAAAACCTGGCATAAGTTCAGAGCATCTATGAACCAAGTTTCATCAAAATCCAATGAGTTGTTCTTTAGATATCAGTGGAACAGTCATGGAACAGCTAAAATGAGCTTATTATCATGCAAATTATGTAATTAATATGTATTGATTTCTACCAAAACCCAATCAAATCTGCGCATTGGCCCAGAGCATCTATGCACCAAGTTTCATCAAAAAACGATGTATGGTTCTTGAGATATCAGTGGAACAGACGGACACACACACACACACACACACACACACACACACCCACACACACACACACATACACACATACAGACAGACAGGGTAACTGCAAAGACTCCCATTGTGTGCTTCGCACATGAGAGTCAAAAACATGACAATTTTCCAGTCAAATATCATTGTAAAGTGAGTGAAAGACAAAGATTTCTGGTTAAGTGCACTTTTACAATAACGTTATTATCGTGTTGCAATATGAAATGTAGCTGAATGAGTAGCAACAGTTTTATCTGGGAATGACCCCCTCCCCCCCCCCCCCAATAAATCCACCCCTGTTAAGCATGATGAATTATTTCAAAAAACAAACACTTTTTTAATTAAATTTTTTTATTACTATAAAATATTTCATTCTCTTGCAAAATTTTCTCTTGTTGATAAACTGATGAAGCCAAAAAAAAAAACCTGAAATTCAATAATTTACATAAAATGTTTTATGTACAGAATATATAAATGGTATATTAAAGTAAAATACAATATATTAGATATCTGAAGGGCATGTTAGCAAAACTTCAATAAAAAATTAAACACAAATTGTGACAATATACAAATGTGACTGTTTTGTTGAGCAGCAGTCACTAACGGAGTCAGAGAAAAACTGACCATTTTTACACTTATCACAGAGCTATTCAAAAAGCTAATGTTCAGAGGTGAAAGTAACATATATGAAAACCTCTGAGGTTACACAAGCTTAGTGACATCTTTCTAAACAGAAATCTGTTTAGACTGAAATACTGAATGTTTTTGACAGAAGAGAACTGCTTCTGTCTGCAAATTGGAAATGTAACGACAAATGTGGTTTAATACAGTTGGCAGAGAATACACCGGATTGATATGTCGTGCCCTCTGGTGATCGCTTCTGCAACATCAAAATAACGTGTATAGGTGAAAGCAATGTCATTCAACTTGACAACTGTGTTTGACAGCTTTAGTTCCACCTATTTACATAATGAAAGATTTTTATTTATAGAAAGGCATACAGGATATCTCGTATATCTCTATTCTAATTTCAAAGACGACTGAATAACAAGTGATATTTTCTGTACTTTTACTAAAATATCAATCTGCTCCCATCCATTCACGAGCTAAGAAAAGCATTATTCCATTAAAGCTACATACATCAACAAGGTTTATAAAAACACATTTAAAAAAAAAAAATGTTGAGTTTTTGATTTTAGCATTATTTTTGATTTTACATTTTTAATTGTATATAATAAGTTTCGAGTTCCATCGTTACCACAGAAACTTGCACGCTCTGGTGTGAAAATATTTTAAATTGGTCTGTGTATGGGAGTTGATTTCACCGCATTAACATTTGATACCTCATCAAAATTGCACAAACTAGAAATCAAAGCAACCCCGCCAAACCTTACACGAAACCAAGTTATCTATTCTACTTATTTTTTGCACACAGATATCCATATAAATGTCAATAAGTTTCAATATCATAGCTACGGGGTAGGAATAAAGTTCTGAGAAAATAGAACTGTTCATTCAAATGTGTTTTTTTATTAATTAAGTTTCAATAGTAGTAAAGTCACGATTTTCACTTTGAAGCGTTTTTTTTTTTTTATCAATACTAAAAAAAATTTTTGACCTACCACTAATTTATATTTGAATTAAATACAAAAACTATAATCACCCCAATTTATTGAAGTCTCCTTTAACCATGGAAAACTAAAATAAGGGTTTAAAACTGAGACAGAATTTTCTATACTTCCTACAAATATAGCAATGCAAACAAAATGTTTAACTGAAATGGACTGGCAATATTTATGCAAAATCCAACAGATTTGGTGGTGATTGTACCATGTACATACCAGTAAGATCAATACCATGTATACTGTAAAATGCATCGTCTAATAACATATAATCTGAATGTACACAGCTTGTATACAATCACCACTTTTTAAGTATATTATAGGTAAATTTTCCAAAGTAATGTTTTCAAATATAGCTTTAGAAAATCCATACATTATCACATTACCATGACCACATATACCGGTAATACTGTCACTTATTAGTCACCGTGGTGACCAATCAGGAAAAGGTTACATTAAAATATTTAAACCATGGTTACAGAATTCAGTTTTGATCTGAGAATACGGCAGCTCAATTTCACTGAGAAAATTTTTTATCCAAACTACCCAGTAGTTAAAATAACATGTTTCAAAAAAAAACCAACAGCTCAAACAAACATGTCTTGTCCCTCAAAATAATGAAAATCCCTGAAACTATTACATAAAAACTCTCTCAGTTGCAGTTTTACAAATCATAACTTTAAATGGCAGCATTACTTCGTAACTTGAAACATTTTTACAGCAAGTTAACACACTAAATATGCAAAACCAATTACAGGTATGAGAGCGGGTACTACGTAATCAATTTTTATGTCACTCTTACAGTTACTGCACATAACGTAAAACTCTGTTACAGAGAGATAATTGTCATAAAAAAATCAAAACATAGGCACCTGCAAACATTTATCTGATTAATTTCAATCTATTAATCAAACTAAGTTTATTAGTTCCTTCTGCTAACAGATGTTAAATAAATTATAAAGAATACTGTAACCTACTTTATGTGTGATATTTATCAAAATCCATTCTCTGCTTCTCGATATTAGGTCTTGGCACCCAAAACAAGCCAAGTTTCAATCTTCTGTATAAAACACAGCGACTTACATAACCATCGGAAAACAGCAGGTTTCGAAAACAGTTCAGTAGAAATATATGGCTATGCATAAACAAACTTCTGGATACATACATGTATCTACGCAGTGAAAATCAAGCAGTTACGAAAGTCTTTGGTTAACAACAAGCCATCAATATATATATTTCAGAACAATTCTGTATGCAAATGTGCAAATTTACATAAATAGCACACTTCACACTCTGGCAGCATTCATCCTGTGGTTCCCACTAAGTTCCACGACAGTGTCACGGAATCTTGGCACAACCGGCGACCTATTCCCATTCACATCCTCATGTACGTCCTCAGCTTCCGGTGTATCTATTTCCATGGCAACCTCAACGCTATTAGCATTCTGGTTTGAGGTGGCTCCAAGTTCCTCCTCATTTAAGGAATCTGAGAGAGGTACTTTGAGTTCATTTGGTGATATGTCAGGTGTGATTTCCACCGATGAACTGAAAATAATGATGAAAACAACAATCATTTAAAAATCTTTTTTAGGAAACTTAAAAATATGTAAATACACAATTATTATCATAACAACTCTTTCCACAGAATAATAACAGTGTTTTACAAGTTTGAACCATTAATAATACTTTATTCTGTAAATTATATCACATTTTTGTCTGATGTTAAGTATGAAAACGCATGGTATGGTGGACTCTAGGGGGCGGTATTCACATTTCCCAAGCCCATTCCAGCATACAAGGTGAGTTTTGTATTGTAGATAACACAATGTGCTGGCTGACCCTGAGAGTTTGCAAGTCATATGATTAATGTGGAATTAAACAGATATTGAGAATTGTACTGGTATGTGTCAGTCTATACATTACTGGCCACATTTAACATAACAGTGTGTGGCTTGTTGCTGTATGAGTAACATCTATGAGATTATCTGAGGCATTGGAATACCTTAGATTGTACAGTATTTAATTCATGTATATATATTTGGAGGGTGAAACTAGATTTTATTATCATGCAAGAGAAGCATGTGTTTTAGTCCTGTCATAACTTTGATTTTTCCTCAATGGTGTATTTACATTTTTTGTTCATAACCATACGACAGTTCCAGACATACAGGATTCTGTCGTAAGTTGGCTAAAAAATTGCAGCTGATGGGCATTTATTTGGGGTTAAAACTTTCAAACAAGCAGCCTGTCGGCTGAGATAGCTCCGCTGTTAGCAATGCACATTGCAATTAAAGAACAAAGAAGATAAAATTAGAAAATGAACAATATGTATAGTATCAAAGCAATCAGACATGCTGTTTTCAACAAGAATTCAAAAATATCACTTTTCACCAAAAATGACAAAAATATTCATCAAAATTAGATAATTGAAGATATCACCACAAAATGAACAAATCTGTGAGAGATCCACATGTCATACCTAATTAATATCAAAGCAATTGGACTTGTAGTTTTTAACAAGATGTCAAAAATATCACTTTTTACC